TGGAAGCCTACATGCATTTGTATCTCAGCTATAAACAACATATTCGCCTGATTGAGAGCGAAGTATCTGATTGAGAGCGAGAGCCAAAAAAATTGAAATTTCGGGTCCAGACGCCTCTTGCCATTTCTTGGCAAGTAGGGGACGGGCTATTCCAAGAAGCGGTGCAAATTGAAGGTCTCATCAGCAGCTTCGCGAGCATATGCGTGTCATCGTCATCGGATGCTGCAGCGAGGAGCTAGACAAGTTGCTAGATTTGCCCAGATTGGCTATTTCTGCTCAAACTGTTTCAGGGCGGTATCGCGTCGGGCGGTGGGCTCTGCTGTAGCTTCTGCTCCCCGCTGTAGCTCCACAACGAGAGACTCCCACAGGATGACCAGGGTAGCGGCTTGAAGCTACGGGCTAGCCCTTCAATTCAAGCTACACAGCAAGCTCCACCTCTCAGTGGTAGTCCGGCTACAGCGTATCGCGCAATCTCGCTCTCAATCAGATGCTACGCTCTCAATCAGGCGAATATGTTGTTTATAGCTGATGTGCAACAGCGAAATCGCGTACGTTAGGGAGCGCAGTTTTTTTTTTCTGTCCAGAAACCACAACTCCAGCCACTCCAATGCCCTTCAGAAAAACAAAAAAACACCCTGAAGTATGCTCCTCGCGTTCACCACTTGATTTGTTTCTTCCACCTCTTTGGACACAAGGATGTCCCAACAACCTTTATTTTTTTGGAACCCCCCCCTTCCACCCCCCCCCGATCCCGTCCCCACGCAAAAAAAACACCCGTGATAGGCAAGACGCGTCATTCAAGGAATTCTATCCTTTCCTTCACCATTTGAATTCTTTCTTTTCCCTGTTGGACGTCTGAGCTGCCGAGAACGCCGAGGCGTGCTTCGCCTTACCGCTAAAGCACTGACGACAAATTACAACGCCACCCAATTTTTCACACTGAGTGCACCGGCAGACAGTTCTAACTTTCCTCGCTCGAGGCTTACTCTTCCGCTCAGGGTTGGTTGGGGTACGACCGTCACACATTCTCGACATGCAACAGAAGCGTTGTGTCCCCCTCAGAGTTTAAAGGTCGCTACCCCCCGACTTAATCCTGGATGTCGCCACCGGAAGGGTGCTTTTACGCCCCCGACCCCCCCTTTCGGCGTTGCAAATGTTTCACGAAGACATGAGAAAGCAGCTAAGCTCCCTCATCCAAACTGATCCCGACTTCTTTTCTATAGTGGCCAAACGCTCGCCCTCCTCTCGCAGCCACTTGAGAAGTAGCCCATCTGCAGTGTCTTCGCCTTCGAACAGCCCTGTTTCCTCCATTTGCTCGATCGCCTCCTTCACCTCACTCTGCATGTGTCTCAACCACCAGCGAAACATCAACCATGCGTTGGTACAGGCCTGCATCGACTTCTGCTCAAAACGACGTCGCCAGGAATGTGCTTAAAAATCTACTCACGGTGTCTGGTACGCACCGTTGTGCTGGTCCGAAATATCTACTCCCCCCATGAACTTGTTGTAGTGGAATCCACACCAAGGCTGGAAGCCATCGGCCTTCTTCGACTGTCCCGCCACGTGCTTTGCTGTCGGTGTGGACGAATACAGCGAGAACGCACGGGGCCGAATGTATGGAGTTCTGTGTCAGCATGAACGGGGTATGAACCTCAGCAGCGTCTAGACACGTACACACCGTATCACCAACCCCTGGACACATATCGTGCCAAGAATATGAGAACCATACGCATGTCAAAAACACCGCGCCCACCTGTACTCCTTCGGTAGAAAGTGCTTCCGGCTGCGGTGGATTGTGGACAAAAAATTGACGAGCTTGGAATCCTTCCACTGCATGAACACCAAGGATCCGAACCTCGCGAATACCATCTCGCCCTTCTTCCTGACATACTGCTGTCTCGTGGTAGACCAGTACTGGATGGCCTCTTTCGATCCGCGGTGTGTATCCCTCAGAGATCCGACGGCAAAACTCCCGTGCCACAACAGACACATGAAGAGGATGGGCAAGGTGAAATAATTGTCGCAGGCCATGTCAGTCCCTGACCTAAACAACTTCGCCCCAAGTGCCGGGCACGCGTGGAACAGGACAAAAATCACCGTGCGGCATACTCGCCCCAAGGGACAATTTTCCCAAATGCGAATCCTCGGATCTCCGGTATAGCCGCCGTCTGTGTATCCCGTGAAACAGTACCCGCTCCAACAACATACCCCCCAAATCTTCACGCCTGGAAAAAATATGGTAGGCATACGTCGGCAGGGGTGGTAGCGGGCGCGGTGAGCCAATGTGCCATAATAGTCAAGAGTCACACGCCAACTCTGGAAAGTAGCATGCATTTCATCACTAACACGGATTAAAAACATTTCCTTCCATGCACGAATGGAAGACAACCACGGAAAAATTGATCGATTTGGGTGGGGGGGGGGGCCTGTGGACGGGGCTTGGGCATGGCACAACGTGTCTCGGCCCTACACGGTACACGCTTTTTGTACACAGTGCATGCTGCCCGTGAGCTACATTCACCATTGTCGATGGGCTTTTTCGGCAGATGCCTCAGCATGAACTTTCCGGAACGGCTGACACACTTGACCATCTGCTCATCGAAGGAGATCCAGGCACGGCCTCGCACTCGAAATCGGGCGCCAAAAACCTTAAATGCGCCAAATATCAACTGTCGTTGCATAGAGATATCTCCAATCTCTACGGACAAGCCAGCTTGACAATTCATACCGGATATGGTGTAGCGAATCCCAACCCTCCTCAACGGTCCCGTCCTGCAACCGTTTTGGAGCCGCCGAGTTTGCCATGTGAAAAAAACGGCCATATATCAGGAGGAACATGTCTCACGGGAAGCAAGCACGCACGAGCTTGTAGTCGTGGAAGGAGTGACAGCTCCAGTGGTCCTGCAGCTCCGGCAACTGGACCTGTCCGGTAGCAAGGGTGATCCCGATGACACCTAGCGTCATCTTCGTAGTCATTCCCCCCTTCGGCCACACAGATTTACCTTGCTTCTCTTTCTTGTCGATGTGACGCCGCTCCTGTCCCTTGGGGTTCGTTGCGCTCGTGCAGAACTTGAAGTACTCGTTTGTCTGTCGCGACGGTGGCCGTTGGTGGTGGGCCAGTGCGAATGGCTTATCAAGAATCTTTCGAAAGTGAATTGAGGGTGTACCACGCTCCACAACCCAACCACCCACTACGGTTCAATCACGGCATGAAAACGTGACGAGCAGCCATCCCAAAAAGCAGGAAGTGCTACCCCTGCATGATCAACGACACAACAGGAACGAGCGCTTGCACTAACCTTCAGGACCAGGTGTGAGATCACCGCCGCCCGGAATATGATGCAGAAGAACGTGAACGCCAGCTCGCCTAGCCCATCCGCCGAGAACCTGCCCAACTTCTCGGGGTCAAACATCGGCAACGCACCCAATGTTTTCTTCGACGGTTTGAACTTCAAATCGTGTCCCTCTCCCGCTTTATTACGGTGGCAATCGTAGTACCCGTGCCCGTCTCCTCGGAAGGAACCTTCACCGTCAAAACCAAACCCATCACCCCCACATGAGCCCGCAGCACCGCCCCCCGCTCCGGTACGACTCCTGTCGTCATCTGCTGCACCCTCTCCCTCACCCTTTTTCTGTACGGTGCCGCTGCTACTGCTGTCGCAGTCTCCACCTCCATCTCCACGACGGGGATCCATACCGCTGCAGCGGCCGCCGTCGTATCCAGCCGTACGATGTGCATCTTTCATGCTGTGTGTTGTCCAGACGTGCTCGTCGGCGGCATCTAGCCCCTCCTCGCCCTTCTCCTCCTCGCCTGCCTCACCACCCCCCTCAGGACCATCTATGTGGACCTTCGACATGGCCATGTTCTTTTTCTGTTATGGACGATGGCATGGAAACAGCCGGTGATTGCAGGGAACAGGGTAGGGGCGGGGCTGGCTAAAGCGGTCAGGGGCCATTGTTGCCATCGCATCACGTAATAGAAAAAATGTGGACTGGCGATAAAGATGCGATGGTAAGGGGGCGCAAGGACGAGGTGGACACACCAAGAGGAACATAGGGGCGGGGGGGCGGGGGGAGCGGAGAGACGGGAGAAAGCATATCGCACACCCACAGCAGCATCACACACGCTGCTGATAGCTACGAAACACGATGATTTACAGTGTGCAGAGTGGGAAAAGCAACAACAAGCATATACAAAGTGTTGCACGAATCGAATTTCGTGCGAGGGACACAAAAAACAATACCCCCCCCCCCCGC